GCTAAACACTTTTACATTTCAAGTTCTCCTGAAAGGTTGCAACTGTGTGTGCTCTGGCATAGGCAGATGTACATCCCACATCACATGCCTTTTTGTTTCTGTACATAGGAGACTAGGTGTGAAGAAGCATATCTTTGGGGTCTATACAATATTGGTCCCTGGTGGTGCAAGGGGTTAAGACACAGTACTCTGAAGCTATCCCCAGCCACTGCAGCACGAGTTCTGTCCCCAGCCAGGTTGCTGAGCCACACGGCATGGCAGATCTCTCCTGTCTCACGGCTGCTCCCCTCAGCAGTGTGTTTTGGTCAGTCAGCCTGTTCTGCTCCCCACTCAGTCTCTGGTGAATCCTTACACTCCCCTCTTCTCTGGCCTGCACTCCAGCTCTTGTATGCATAAATAAATAAATACTTAAACATATATTTGTTAACAGATGTTTAAAAAACTGCAACCACAGCTGTCTCTGGGCCACTCTCCCACCACCCTGGCCAGGATGGATTCTGCACACAACTGCTCGTCGTGACAGAGCTTACAATTCAAAGTCTGGGGCGAGGATATCAGCTTGGGTAGAGCTGCCATGCTTGCCCCTTGGAGAGAGAGAACACCTGCTAATATCTCATCAACTTGGGAGATTCCTCAAACATAACATGTGGGCTTGCATGGAGGTGCCCTCTGAAGAGTAACAAATGTCTGCACAGAGATAGGAATTGAATTTCACAATAATACTTGATGTTTACCCATGTTGTCCTAGCCACTGTGCTAGTGAAGGAAATTTCTGGACTGCTTTCCCTATTCAATTAGTTGTTTTCCCTCACTTACAGGCAGGAAGACTAAGGAATTTATGTCCATTCAAGGTACAGACGCTGAAAAGTTCAGAGCTGAGTATCAGATTCCTTTCCTTCCAGGCCAATGTGGGTTCACAGTTTTCTTGCTTTGAATAATAAAATCAAACCATCAGAAAACTAATGAATAACAATGGGTCCTGGCTTGTGGAGGCACTGGCGTCTGTCAGAGTCTTGCCTTGGCAGCTTCATTCTTGTTATAGTTGCAAAACTAGTGATGGCCCAGAATCTCTCCCCTGGGGTGTGGATAAAACATCATAAACAAGAACATAATATAAACCTGGTGGCTGTTGTTCTGATGGGGAGTTGAGAAACAATAATATCTGAAAAACAGCCCTCTTTCTCAGGTTATCTTGAGAAAACAAAAAATAGCAAATTGATTTTAATTAATGCAAAATACTACTCTTTACACAAATACAAAGCACAGTGGCTAAACGAACTATCAGCTGGAATTTGGACAAAGAAGAAAGCATGTTTCTAGTGGATGTTAGGATTAAGGAATTTGGACAAAGAAGAAAGCATGTTTCTAGTGGATGTTAGGATTAAGGAGCCATCGAAAGAGCCAATCTCCCATATAACCAGAGGCAGTCATGTCTGAGTTGCAAAGCCCCACCCCTTTCTCTGTTTTGATTTTAGTCTTCAACAGGTTCCCCATTAGGTCAGAAAGTGGACCTTGTAACAGCTTCAAGTTCAGCTGCTCCTTACAGCACATGATACCCAAAGGGAGCAGACCTCTCTCCTCTATTTGCAACATCAGTATTTGAAGAGAATTCCAACTGGTCTGACCAAACCCTCCCCAGATGGTCAAGCAATATCTGTACATGGGGAAGCTGGAGTAGGTGACATAGAGGAACAGTGAGGGGTGGTAGTAGAGGCCTGGGTGTTGTCACGTGGGAATATTGGCACTGAAGGATGGAATGAGGGGTGAATGTGAAGGAAAGGCTGTGGCGAGGCTAGACACACATATCTCCTGTTTAGCCTTGACCCCTGGAAAGATTGAACACACCCACTGCTGTGTACCTCCTTCTTGGGCACAGTATGACTTTGGGGGGCTGAGGGTGGAGGAAGCGCCTTCCTCTCTGAAATACGTATTTCCAGAAGCACTGTGTGCAATCAGCTTTACTCCAAGCAAGCATTTATTCCAATAATCTTTGACCGATAAAAAGTCCCAAGTGCAAATATTTCACAGAACTGGCTTATTTGTGGGAGTACCAGTCAAGTGCAACCAGTTGCGCTCTTTACTCTCTGGGGATCAGAAAGGAGGAAGGCTGATATTTGAGAGTGAATGAACTGTCCCTGCCCACATCAGGTCCAAGAGCTGAGGTGAAGTTGGGTTAGCTATTGTTGAAGAAGTGCTGAAGGGGAGTAAAGTCTCAGTTAAAAAGATTTTATGGCTCTCCCTGGTGGCACAGCGGGTTAAAGCACTGCACTGAGAAGCTCAAGCCACTTCCGCATGAGTTCGATCCCTGCTTGCCCCGGAGGTGACCACATGGCGCGGCAGACCTCTCCTGACCCTCCTGCTGCTCCCCTCAGCAGTGTGCTTCGCCGATCTGCCTGTTCTGTTCCCCGCTCTGTCTCTGGTGAATCCTCTCACCCTCCGCATCTCTGGCCTGTACCCCAGTTCTGTACGAATAAATAAATAAATCTTTTTTAAAAAAAAGATTTTATATCTTTGAGTAATGGGGTCAAATTTCCTCTCTCTTTGGAGGATAGCTTTGAGGATGTTAATTATTGTGGTTCAGGTTAGACAAATCAGATGGTTATGTAATGAGTATTTTTATTGTTTAAACACAAAGAGCCACTTTCCTTTCCAAGTAACGTATTCCTAACCAGAAGGATAAAATAAACAAAAGAAAATCCACTGAAACAATGAGAGGTTCAATTCTCCAGTTTCATTTATCTACTTATATGCCCTGGGCAAATGACATATAAGTGAAGAAAAACCATATAGTTTGGTGGTAGAATGATCAAATAGTTCTACTTTTAAAACACCTGTCCAAAGTTTGTTATAAGTCAGATTTTAACACACTAGGCTATTTTGTTGTTACTTTGCCTTGAAAGTATTGAAACTTCAGAACAAAATAAAATTTTCAATTTTTGCTTGAAAGCCAAGACACCAAAGAGACTACAAAGCAATTTGGAGTTGGAACTTACCAACTAGTAAATGTTTGCCTTCCAGTATATGGACACTGGAGGTTTTTAAGTGTATTTAAAACTTCCAAACACTCAGAACAAAAAGGTACTGTTCGGGTTGTTTCTATTTGTTCCTGAGAGCAGATAACCACTCATCAGCTGTCCCATCGCCCTATCAGATTTCTCCTGCCCCTATGTTCTTGTTCTAAAGGTCAACTCTTTGCTTAAATTTATTGAATGACAATAACAAAGGAAAAAAGTAGGCCAAACTAACAACTAAAAAAACTAACAAAAATATTACTCTAACAGACAAAATTATATCCTTCCTTTAAAAAATTCAAGTAAATATTTCAAAATGCAAGGCACAAATATGAAAATATTTATTGAAATGTTATCACAATATAATCCTGATACAATCAAGAAAGTGATGATTAGTTATTTTGTAACAAAGTATTTGATTTTTGCCTGAATATGCTAGGTGACTTGTCTAAACATGAAAGCAAAAACAAAGCAAAGCAAACATAAAAATAAAATGTGAGGCCACCTAACAACTTTCACGAAGCAACCAGAACTGGTATTTTAAAATCTGTTCCAAGACTTTAAATGTTTATAGCACACAAAACTTACATGCCACTTCATTTTTCTAAACTGTCCCCCCTCTTCCCCCCCCAAAAGAACAGAACAAAAGATGAAAAAAACAGTAAGCCAAAAATATCGCATCATTTGAAAATATATATGAAAGCATTTTTTGTTTCTAGATCTATGCTCATATTCATTTTTTCTAACAAATAGGAAAAATAAAACCAACTCTCCAGCTCTTTTTCTCTCTTATCCTCTCACTTCATGTATTTCTGATTTTTTAAAAATTCATTTACTATTATGTATAATTGAATATAACCAGAAGTACTTCCTATATTTTAAATAATATATTTTAAACATTTAGAGCAATTATTGGGGGGTTTCTTCACAAAAAAAGACACCTATAGGCCATGAGCAAGGTTCCTGGCAAAGTGGAGAAGGCAAATTTCCATTGCTGTTACAGGGCAACCCCCATGTGAATTGGGTTGCCCTACTGTGTGTCCTCACTTGTGTGCTTAAAAGGGACTTCTAGTAAGGTTTAACTGCAGGCACATACAGAAAGACTGTTAAGGGGAAGGATGTTCTAAAGGAACTCTGCAGAGTCTTATGGACTCCACTCCCTACTCCAACTTTCTGGACACTATTTCCTACTCCAGTGATTGAAAACTACAACTCCCAGCAGTACCAGGGAGAGAACTGTGAGGACCCAAGGGCGGAGCTAGCAGGAAGGAATTCTGGGACATTTGCGGGGATAAATAGAGCGTGATTGCATCTCTTGCTCAGGGTCTCGCTCTCTCTGGCTCTGGAAGCAGCTCGCCTGACCTCATGACTCAGTGTGTTCAGTCAGCCTAGCCAGTAAGGTATTCCACTTACTTTGTATCCTGCTCTCTTTCCTTGGGTTGTTTCCTATTCCTTTTCCCTTTTGTAAATAAACCCGTTATTGACCCTTTTGTGTGTCCCTGCAGTGTAACTGAGTTGTGAGCACGCAGGTGAGGCCCCACAGACAGGCGGCCCAGTCCACTCTGGGCTACCCTGTAACAAGACTACTTATGGGTTTATTTAGAAATGAACAACTCAGAGGAAAGGAGAGAGAGAGAGAGATAAATTTGTTAATGTGTCCTACCAATTCCACTGACCTGAAACCTCAATAACACACTTAGGACCAGTGCATATCCTAAACCCAAAATGGCTGCTGAACTCTGCCCTTGGGTTTCTAGAAGTCCTCCCTTTGGTGTTGCTGGGATTTGTAGTTTCCATGTCTGGAGTGGGTGGAGTCCACAAAACCTGTATTTGTAAAGTTCATTTCCCCTGACAGAATCTTAAATTTTCCTTTATCTGTCTTAGAAGAATCAGGTTGTTGTTACTGGTTACATTCGGAAGTAAAGTTTCATGTTTCATAATGTTTATTCTCTGCTTTTTAAAACTGTAACTTGGGGGGAGGGAAAGATGCTTAAATTTTGTTTACAAATAAAATAGGAAGAAGAATGAATAAGCAAAGAAGCCCTTGAAGCATAGTAGTAGACAATGCATGAAGAGAATATAGTGTCTTCCAATGAGCTCTTTTGAAAACCAGTGGTCCCTTCTCAGAGACCTCAATATCGTGCAACACTCCACACCACTTCAAGGGACCTGCACACATCTCCTTTCACTTCTGGGACCTTGTCTGCCTAACAGGGGCTGGTATATTTCAGCTGTTACACAGTAGCCAGTCCCGGTTGTTAGAGCTTCAATTTCAACAATTCTGTGAGCTCCTTCATATTTTATTTGCTCCTATACACAAGGAGAAAAAAGAAGACAAGTAGTTTTCTGTAAGTCTTTGATCTGTTTTGCAGTTTTTGATTCATTGATATTTTTGATAAAATTACATCATAACAGCAGTAGGTGGGCTGTCAAGGTTCTTCCCAAACACATCCTCCATTTCCAGGGTCCTATATGCAGCCTAATAAAAGTGTAACAGGATGGTCCCCAGGAAAAGGGGCGATTCCAGGTTCCCTGCCCCACCCAAAAGGAGAATGAAGCTGAGCAGAGACTGAAGAAGAGACAAAGAAGAAGGAGACAGGAAGGGGAGCCAGAAGGAGACCTGAGTGAAGCACATGGAGCAGAGAGACATGTGAAGGAGTGGCTCTTGTTTATTGGCCCTGGACTGGTTGAAACAGATGTGGATGAGAGATCCCTGGGAGGTTGACTTTGGCAGCATTTATCTTGATTTTGACTTTGCACATTCCCCCCCCCCCAGACTTGTCTGGATATTTTTGACCCTTTTCCATGGGTCCCCACCAGAAGGTGCTTTAGACTTGTGGCGAGATTTCAGTGTTGGCTTTGGGCCAATCCCTTTTCGGTGGACTTTTACCCACAAGAGGATGGGTAACCTTGGGTGTTTGATTTTGAAATTTTATTCTTTGCCTTTTCTGTATAGCACATGAGTTGTATTAAGGTTCCTTTCCATTAAAGGTCTTACATATTTTGTCTTGATGTGGCGGATGGCAGAACCTATTTAAAGCAGGCAAGTTTGGGGGCTCAGGGATGCCCCTCTCCCTGCCCTGTAACAAAAGGATGGTCATGTAGATAACCACATGATTTCTTCTAAAGTTGTTAATTGGTTCAGTGGTTGGAGTCTCATTTTCATAAAATTAAGCTGTGCACAAAGAGTGGAATGGACTTTGAGACAATTATAAAAATGTAAGATGTGGACACAGAGAAGCTGAGAGGGGGTCTTAGAGTTTGCTTCTGCATTTTTCCTTCCTGGCAGCAGGTTATTTTCTACCCTTGTCTGTACATGAGATTGCTTGTTAGCTTCCAATAAAACTCCTCCCCTTCTCTTACATTATCTTTGCTGGTGATTCAAGCACTAAATGGATAAGGAACAATAAGAGACAGAGCAGCAAAAGAAAAGATGTACAATGTAGCCAAAATGTTAGTTAAATGAACAAAAGAAAAAAATATGAGTGGTATACATTCACTTGAACTTACCTTTTCTAGTAACTTGTTCATTATAAAGACTCGGTATTCTAGCTTATAGTAATTTTCCATCGTTACATTTCCCCCTTTTGGGTCTCTATATGGTGAACTTGGAGCATGGAGAATCACCAACAAAGATCCATTAATTTGGGTTATATTTATGACTGGAGGACCTATTTTGGCTGGAAATAGAATAGAAAACTTTGACAAATCATTCAAGACAATGACATTTCAAATGGATGCATTATGGACAATAACAAGTTCTTATTAAACTCAGATGTGGCAAAAATCACTAGAAAGAGATACTGCTGACGTCTAAAACGCCAATTTTTGAGAAAGCTCTTTGCAGTAATTTTCTATTCTCAAAGACTGATGAATTCTGTTTCAACTTTAAGATGCCATTTATTAATTATTTCCACAGCCTGTGGTGACAATTTTAGAAAACAAAATTTATGTGAAGGAAATTTTACTTAATAGTGATTAAGAGAATTAGAATCCAATGTTTAAGAAGGTGTATTACTGAAACAAGTACATGGAGGAAAGTGTAGAGGGGATGTGTATTGGGGATGAATAATAGTCTGGTACAAGCAAGGGGGAGTGAAAGGGGCTGTTCCTTGGGGTGCCATTGTTGCTGCTGATCAAAACAACCTATCACTAGTCCCTGTTTATACTTAACTTCCTGTCAAGGTGGTCTAGCTGGTTATACTAATCTGGCCATAATGTCCACTATTTTCAGTAGATATCCTCATACCATGACTTTTGTCCTGGTGAGAGGCCCCCTGCCTGACTCTACATTTTAGCTTGACCAGCAGAAACTTTGGGCACCAAGACAATATCCTGAGAACAGGGGAGTTGGGGGGTTCACAATAGAAGTCCTATTCATAATAGTCAATAGATGAAAACTACTTAAATATTCATCAACTAAGGAAAGATAAGCAAATGTGTGCATCTATGTACTGGAATATTATTCAGCCACTAAAAGTGATGAAGTACTAATATATGCTACATATAACATGGGTGAAACTTGAAAACATTATGCTAAATGAAAGGAGCACCCCTGTACAGTAAAATAATTTTTGACTCCCCTGTATCCTAAATACAGTCATCCCTTGCTACTTCTGGATCCCCATACAAAAATTCCCAGATGCTGGAGCTTCTTATAGTTGACTCTCTACATCGTCTGTGTAGTCTACCAATGGACATCTGCAGTTGTGAATGCAGAGCCCACAGGTAGAAAAGAAATCCCCATGTAAGTGGATCCCTGCAATTCAAACTCTTGTTGTCCAATGGTCAACTGCCCTTCTTTTCTCTATGAGGTAACAACCTTGTAGAGAAATAGAGTATCAGCTCTTCAGTCAGAGTCAGAAGAATTTGAACCCTTACTTGAGCTCTACGTGAGCTCTGAGCTCCAGGCAGGCACTACTGAAACCTCAGGGCCTTGATTTTCTGTCTATAAAATAAGGATAGAAAAGTCATCTCCTAGAGTTCTAAGAATTAGATGAGATGAGATGATGTGTAGACCTCAACAGAATGTAAGTCCTGGTAATTGGCCAAGTTCACTGAGGGTTAGTCAAGGGCAGGAAGAGCAAATAAAAAAAGACTCTATGGAACTCACTTTCCCACCAAGGGATGAACCTCTTAGTCATAACCCAGCTTGAGTTGATGCCATTTGAGTTCCTCATCACCCTTGCATAATAAGGTTCCCGTATATTTGATGTTTCATTGGTAAGGTCACAAAATAAGTCTTGAATACCCCAACATTTCTCTTTATTTTTCCATTCTTTCTCTCCATACCTATAGAAAAAAAAAAAAGACAGATCTGAGTTTCTTTTTTCATCAAAGGAAGTACTTCAGTTTTTTAAATTTTTAGAATGATTGGAATTTTTCTTCCAATATCGGCACCACTGGAAAAGCTTATGGCTGCTCTTAATTATCTTTTAAAAGAATCCCTTTTTATTAACCAAGGTGCCGTCTTGCTAAAATACAGACTTAAGCCTGACACTTTTCTGTATCACTAACATAAGGGTTTTTGGTTTTTCATACTCAGAGAAGTTTGTCTTCTGATATTTGGACCAACTTCCATTTAGTATTTCTATGTGAAGTGTTAACACTTTCTTTGCTGCTCAACTTGCTATTGACTAACGTGACTGATTCTAAGACGTTACTACCACTTCTCACTTCTGGTAATGCTTACCCAATACTCTTCTGGTCAATCTCTTTTCTGAAAGTTGAGCAAGAGCTGTACTGGGGATCATATAAGTAGTTTTATAATTAGAGGCTAGGAGAGAGCAAGAAGAACCCATAAATAAAAAGGTAATGAGGACAAGAGGCAGATAAGTTGATTTAGCTTAAAAAAACGGGAAGGTGTAACAGCAAAAGAAAGACTGACGCTTTACTTCCTCACCAGGTACGTATCAGTGAAGTAAATTGCTTGCTGTTTTGGCCCTTAGCTGCATTTGATTCTGAATTTCTGGTTTTTTCTTAAAGATTTGTTTTTTGCATACAAGAGTTGGAGTGTAGGCCAAACATGCAGGGTATGTGAGAGGATTCATCAAAGACAAGAGGGTGGCAGAATAGGCAGATTGACTAAAATAACACTGCTGAGGGTAGCAGTAGGCGAGACAGGAGAGTTCTGCCATGCCACGTGGGTCAGCTTCCTGAACAGGGATCACGCTTGGGCTGAAGCAGCTGCTGATAATTTCATAGTGCTGAGACTTAACCCCTTGTGCCACCAGGGAGGCCCTGTTTTTCTGAATTTCTAATAAGCCCTTAGAGCTAAACTTTTATCTGCTGTCTCATGTTCAACCTGTTTCTGAAACTACTTAAAAGAAGGAAGTACCTCCTATATTTATAGAGATTTAAATATATAACTCCCTAAGTAGATGAAACAATGTAAACCAACTTTACCTCAATAAAAATAATTTAGAATCATACAAACAAAGAAAGAAACCAGGAAATATAAGAGTGGGAAAACCCGTGATTGGCAAATAAGGAGTTTATGTCCCCAGGCCTTAATCCAGAAAAAAGTGGATTATATCTGAGTACTGGCAACAACCCACCAGCACCAGCCTGAAGCTTGCATGGGAGGGACATGCAGCAACGTGTTGCAGTTTGTGTCCTCACTTACAGGAGTCATTAATTTTTCAAAATAATTTTTGAAATAGGAAACCCTCTCTAACCAATGACCTTAAGTGGAAAATATATTTTATACATTCACTTCCTATGTTCCACAACTTCTTTGTTAACTATCAATAATGTCAAGTTAGCTGAGTACCTACTGTGTGTTAAACAAGTTGCTTCCAATGTTCTCTTGACACAAGCATTAAAAGCCCACTATGTGCCAGGCTCTGTCATGAAGCCTGGGTGCTGGGTCTCCCCGGGGTGATGCACCTTGCACCTCCCCTAGAGACTGCACCTCATCATGCATTTGTGTTACCAGACAGCCCTGGGAAAGGGGTTAGAGTGGGGGAGGGGGCCAGACTCTGCTTCTTCTCAAGATTTCTGAAAGTGAGCATAGCTCATGCATCATTGTTATCTGTAAGCATCTCTACCAGCTTTCTCCAGCTCAAATTACTCACACTTTATACTGCACAAAATAGAGACTGCCATTGTTGGAGCAGGCCTGCCCAGGGTGCCAACGCAAAATATTGTGAAAATTTCGGGACTGAAAATGTACTCTCTGTGGCTTCAGCGACTCATGGGCTGGCTTCATGTCTAAAATAAGAAAAGGAAAAACAGGGAATGTGAATAGGAGCACGTTGTTGTCAGCAAGCGTTTTCAATGCCAGCCTGTCTTGGGATTCCCTGAAGTAGTTGCTGTATGGGCAGAGTGCAGAAGGGAAGCCCAGAAACCAACATTTTCCATCTTTGCTGTGATGATTTTGATACAAATTGTGTTCCAGATAGTAAAAATAAACGCAAGGAATGCCCACTCATTCCCAAGATGTAGAGAAGGAAAATGCCACTGATAAAGTATGGTCCTTCCCTCGTCCCTGAGGAGAGGGCGCGTAATGACTGAGGTGAAAGACCCACACCGAGGCCACTGGCCCACCTTCCCCAGGGCGCCAGCATTCCTCAGCCAGCGTTCTGAATGCTACTCTGAGGCCGACTTTTGCCTGAGGTCAGTATTAGCTCTAGGAGCTCAGTGTAGCATTGGGTTCTTCTGTCTCAGTCTTTGGATCCTGCTTCATGGTCCTCAGGTCTCTCAGCTGAAAATGTACTCTCTGACCTGGCTGTATTCCACAGAGGTGGCCCTTTGCTGTCCTTCTGCTGAATGGTCCTGGCACTCAGGACCCTGGCATCCTTCCCTGCATGAAATGGTCCATGTTACCGAGAAAATTGCTCACAGTGCTACCTAATGGGCCTTGTATTCCAACAATCTTGTCAGGAAAGATGCCATTTCACATTCCTCAAACCCTGCAACATGGGTGGCCTGGTTCTACCTTCATTTAGTCCACCGGAGGTAAGATATGCTTGACAGGGCCCTCCCTGGTGGTGCAACATGTAAGGATCCAGCACTGCAAGCTAGCCCCAGGCACCTGGGTGTGAGTTCGATCTCCTGCCCCGGAGGTGACCCACAAGGCTGGCAGCACTCTCCTGACCCGCCCGCTGCTCCCCTCAGCAGTGTACTTCCTCCATCTGCCTGTTCTGCTCCCCACTCTGTCTCTGGAGAATCTCTTACCGCCCCTGCACCTTTGGCTTATATCCCAGTTCTATATGCATAAATAAATAAATCTTTAAAAATAAAAAAGATATGTTGACAAAATCTTACAGGAGAGCCTGAAAGAGCTGGAATATGTCACGTTAAAATTTGCCTCTGTCATAAAAATCATTTTGAGCTGAAACCAATTAAGAGGACTAAATGCAGGGAAAATTCTCTCTCCGCCCACCTCCCTTTCTGCCTAAAGGCAAGATATAAATTCTCCCTTTACTGGAAAACGACTGCTCAGTCAGAGACCACACCAGAGGCTTCTCTCTTTGTTCCCACAGTTAGCTGCCCTTGAGAGCCTAAATTACTTTCCTTTCTCCTGTCAAGTTTTTTTTTTTTTTAATGAATTTATTGTTCTTTGTTCAAGGTGCTATAGAAGCTAGAAATCTGAGTCACCACTTTGAGTTGTTCTTTGATTAGCTTTCTGTCTGGTGATATGAAACACATGTGTTAATAAACTGCTTCTCTCTTGTTAATCTGCCCTTTGCTTAAGTCCCAGGTGAAAATTTAAGATCAGCAGATATAAAACTGCCTCTCTGACTGGTCTGCAGTTTCTGAGGAGTAGGAAGCTAGGCAGAAGAGGTCAGGAGTGACAGCCTTTGCCTTTCCCTGGACCTCCTCTCCTACCCTCTCTCCACTTCAGTGCATCCCTTTGCCCTACTTCACCATGCTGGGTGAGGTTTCACCCCAAGGTCCCTGACGGCTTTCCTTTGCTAACAAATATTGTCCCCTGCATTGACACATGTCTGATCTCTCCACCTACTTCAATTCTTTGCTCGAATATTAATGCAATGAAATCATATTCTCCTAAGTCCACAATCTCAGCTTTAAACAATTCAAGATATGTGTTCTAATGGGGCTATTCCCTTAGGTAGATATTTTTACCTAATGAATAATGTCAACACGGCCCTCCCTAATGGCACAGCGGGTTAAAGTGCAGCACTAAGAAGCTAAAGTCACGTCAGCATGAGTTTGATCCCTTCTTGCCCTGGAGATGACCCACATGGCGCGGCAGACCTCTCCTGACCCGCCCGCTGCTCCCCTCAGCAGTGTACTTCCTCGTTCTGCCTGTTCTGCTCCCCACTCTGTCTCTGGTGAAGCCTCTCACCGCCCCTGAACCTCTGGCCTGTACCCCAGTTCTGTAAGCACAAATAAATAAATCTTTACAAAAAAAATTATGTCAACACTATTGGAAGATTTTTTTTTTAATTGTGTGGACCTCTTTCAGTGTATCCAGTGGTGGTGTGGACTTTGAATAAGTCTATTCCACCTTCCATTTTGTAACCTAATCAACCATATCTAGTTTGTAAGAATTCCAGAAGTTTTCAGGAGATGGTAGTTAATTTCCTGAAGACCCTGCCTGCAGGTGATTTGTTAGCCTGTAGCTAGAGGACTCAATGCTCTTTATATCTATGGATTTCTTTTTCTTTTTAAACACTACCCCTGCTATCTCCATGGGTTTTTACCTGCTTTATTTCATTTAATCTGCCAGTTTATTTATTTAAAAAAGATACTATTGTGATCTTCTTTTAAGCTAGAGAAACCTAAATCCTGGAGAAGTGAAGGAATGTGCTCAACAGTGAATTGTGAAGCAGATTTTGTACTCAGGCAGTCTGAGGACAAACCACAACCTGCTTCTCAGCTATAGCAGGGGCAATAATGGACAAAACAAAACAATTAGAGGTTGAGGCTATTCCTTCTTTTATCCCTCCTCCTCTCTCTGGCAGGCATTTATTGAACATTGATCACATTTGAACATTAAATGTGTGTCAGACACTGTGTGCAAATAGTTATATCTTATTTCCCTCTCACAACCCCAAATAAAGTGGCAATTTTTATTGTTATATACAGATGGGGAAACCGAGTTCTCAAGAAGTTGCAGATCTTGCCCAAAGTTACAGACCTTACAAAAGGCAAAGCCACAATCATTTGTATGGCACTTGAGTTTCTGCCACATTTTGCTAATCAAGCCTGGTACCACCAAGGACCAAGGGTATAGTCTACTCAAACTCACATTTCTGGGAAGCAGAGTCTTGAATGTGTGTGTTGTCAGTCACTTGGCAACTGATAATTGGAACCACTACTTGAGCCACTTACACTGAGAGGTGCCCATCTGTTAAAGGGGATTCTAGTGGCCTTGCCCAGAGATTTGTTGGTGCAGTAAGAGACTTCTGCTCTTGAAGAGTTCTTTGTGAATACCAATAGCAAGTTCTCACTGTCATGATCTCAATTCTGCCACCAGCACTGCTCTAAGCATTGGCATATAATCAACTCATTTAATCCTTGCAATGACCTACAATGCCCATCTTACAGACAGAAATTGAGGCATGAAAAAAAAAGTCCTGGGGTGGGTTTGGGATGCATGTTGTTCTGGGCTAGTGGCACCCTTTATAGTGGCTTGTTCTAGTGTGTATTAAACTTGGAGTGTAAAATGAAAAAAAAAAAGTTAATCGCACTGGCTTCCTAGAGATAGTAAATGGCAGAACTGAAATCCCCACCTCCGAGGTGCTCCGACGTCAAACATGCCTTAAAGATGAAAGAAAGGCTAAGGCAGAGAGCTGGAGGTGTTGTTTTTGTATGAAGTTTCTTGCATCCTTTTTAGTAACTACTCTTGAGGTCCCCAAAGAGCTATTCATGCGGCATATAGCAAACTGTGCCTGTCATGATTCTTTAGTGAGAGAAGAAAGCCGAAACAAACACAAAGCACGAAAAACACTTGCATTATTTCTGAAGCTGTGAGCAATTGAAAAGATGTGAAGTAAGCATTGTTTTAAAATGAACAACAATGTAACTATATAAGCAAACAAACAAATATTTAAAAAAAGAAAGGAAGCACTTACCTAGGACACCAGTCAGGGAGAGGGTGACAAGGAAGCCGAGCAAGCGACCTGAGGGCATCATGGCTGTGCGGGTGTCTGTTTGGCCAGTGTCCCCTCAATGAGAGCTCAGTGTGCGCCAGCAGGGAAATAGGAGAGTCCTCAGGCTAAAACGCCCCTTTCCCTTTTCAGTGTGACGGTGGTTTTCTATATGTCAACACATTATTATTATTTATTTATTGTTTGCTTTTTGAGGAATTTAAAGAGGCATTTGCGGTGGTGTTTGATTTTTGCTGAAACAAAGAGTTAGCTATAAAAAGGCAAAACACCCAGACTGAAAGTCTGAAGGGCAAGGCGGGGTTGGCAGGCGAGTGATTGAAATAGTCTAGGGAATCTGGCCACAAGGACTTAGCTGACATGTGATTTTGAGACTTAGCTGACATGTGATTATGAGCCATGTGCTTGACAGTTGCAACTATGAACTGGTTCAAGCAAGCAGGGAGGGGCAGGGATCTCTCCTCTTCTCTGTCTCTCTTTGCTGGTGTGCCTCACACCTGCCAAGCCTTTGGCTCTCCATAGGGCTCCCTGTCATAGTCTTGGGGCTCCCCCTTCATGGTAGCCATGGGTCCTGCTTAATCAATGCCTCTTCTTTCCCATTCCCACTCTTAGTTTCCAGGATCTGACAACAATTTAAAGCCTGTCAAAACAAGTGATTCCTTAAAAGGATAAATGTGGAAAACAATTATTTTAAGCTACATGAGATCTTTTTTTCATAATGTCCTTGCAATCTGATCCAATTAGATAATAAGGTTTTCACCATGCCATTTTTCTTTTCTTTTTTATTAGATTTTATTGATTTTTGCATATAGAACTGGGGTACAGGCCAGAGGTGCAGAGAGTGAAAGGATTCAGCAGAGACAGAGTGGGGAGCAGAACAGGCAGATTGAGGAAGTACTCTGCTGAGGGGAGCAGCAGGCAGGTCAGGAGAGGTCTGCGGTGCCATGTGGATCACCTCTGGGGCGGGGATCGAACTCACACTGAAGAGGCTGCAGCTTACTTGCAGTGCTGCTTCCTAACCCATTGCTCCACCAGGGAAAGCCGACCATGTCATTTTTCTTAAAATGATCATTGTTGAAACAGTATTTAGTACATGGAGGGTCATTACACCTTACTTTTGTAAAGTGTATATATTTGAAGTTTTTCATAACAAAAAAAATTAAAACTTTTATCATGTCATCCTTATAAAACTCTTTTTGGTAACTTTAATACCATTTTAGTGTTAATAGTAAGATCTAATCATTTTGGCACATGTATTGAGCTCTTTCTCTGTATTATTTAGTTAACCCTAACAACAAGCCCCAGGCATCAATAGTATTATCCTGGTATTACAGCTGGAGAAACTGAGTCATAGAGAGGCTAAGAGGCCATAACAAGGTCTAAAGCATGTAGTGAGAAATCAAGAGGTAAAACAAGATCTGGTTGACTTAGGCTCTGAGGTAATTTATAAAATTATTCAGCTTTGTTCTTCAGTTGTAAATATTTACTCCATAAAGGGATAGAATGATGTCATAAGAGATTTGGTGGTTCATCTTATTTATTAACTCAAGCAAATGTTTATTTGGCATGTGTTGCAGACCAGACACCACACTAGGGAAGAAGGAATGAACAAGATGGCATCACCTGTCCGCATGGAGCCTCCATCTGTCTTCAGTCAGGACGAGGTAGTGAATGGCCTCAGAATCCACCTCCACAGAGGAGCTTCCTGCTATGCCCGGATTGACTGGCAGCTCCTCAAAGGAAGAATTAGTGTGAAGAGGCATCTGTGATTTTTTTTTGGTGCCTAGATGCCTTTTTAATTGTTTTTTGAGTCTGTCTTCCCAGGGTCAGAGTGCTGGTGGTTCAGATAAACTCTGGGAAGCTCTCCTCAGGCATTCCCTCGGGATGCCACCCTTATCACCGTGTCCTAAGTCCACTGGGGGCTGCCTGATTTATTTCCCCAAATGAGCTTGTGCTTTGCCATTGGCGAGTTCATTTTATATTTCAGATAAATGCAGCTTATTAAACACTATGACTATTTGAACAATAAAGTGCTGTCATCATCCAGCCCATACACTCCCCTTTGGCTCTGAAATGTAATATTTTTCAATATTTGTTTTTCTTTATTCTTCACTGTAGACTTCTTTATCTTACCCAAGGGCTTGTTAATAGAGATAATTAAAAACAAAATTCTAAGTGGAAGTCTTTTTAATTTTAATTCTCACTGTTATCTTTTTAAGATTTCCAGAAGAGAAGAAAGAAGTCACTGACTTACACAACCACGTTCATTCGGAAATCCCCTCTCTTATCGCTTTTATTTCTGGGAGTTGAAGGGCAGAAATAGATCAGGGTTAATTTATTATTCATGAACAAAGATAAAACACGACCAGAAAAGTGCTTGTGTAATATCAGTCCTACAAGATGTACACTGAGCTTCCAAACAAAACTTAAGAAGTCTCATGAAACTCAGAGTAAGGAGAACACCTTTTATATTTTAAAGTAACCACTTTGGATCTTTTACTGTATCATTATGAGTAAGCCCCATAAGTAACTTCAATTAAAGTGTATTTCTAGCTTCACAAGGTTATTTCTGGGTGTGCTGTCAGGTTATCAATGTCAGCACATGATTTCTATTCAAAAACAAGTGGAAAAATAAGTATCCCTTTGTATACAGGAAGCTACAGACATCAGACCACAGTGGAAAAGTCAGCTTTGGAGAGAGGCGAAACCTAAGTTCAAATGCCTCAAAACACACTTCTCTGAGCTTTACCCATTTGTGGTGGGGACCCATTTCTGATTCTTAACTGCCCCTAGGACGCCATGTCTTCTTCTCAAATGCTCAGAGCACTTGCTAAGTTCATTTGATTTTTGTAGGCTCTGTGCACAAACTGCTTAACACATCCCATAATCCCCAGAGTAGGGCTCCACATGAACCCTACAGGGTGTCTAACCTTTCCGCATTCATGTCTTAACCCCAAATCACAAGGTCCCTGCCCTTTTGCCATGTGCCGGGTTCCATGTCCCAGCTCCTAGCTGACTCCTTGTCCACTGAGCTGCCTTCCCTCCTCCCAACCCCCCACTCCACCAGCACCCCCATGCCCCCGCCACCTTCCTTGTTTTATGTGTTCTGAGTTCTAAGAGATGCACCTGCGCTAACTAGTTTACTTAGCAGCTTCTTTCTTGTGACTTGGTTTCCTCACTAGAAATAAGATCTAATGTCTGACTCACTAGGAAAAACTGACTGAAGAAAAACTGACTGAACATTGACCTGTAACAGTCTTGATAATATTAGCCCTCCCTCCAGGCTTGGTGAGCTGTGATAGCTGCCATTGTTTCCCAAACACTTAAAGAGATCCAGGAGGAATCCTGCTGTGTGAAGGGGAGGAACACCGCAGACCTAGAGTGCGAGTTGTATGGCTCCCTGCTAGCTCTACATGAGAACAATGGAAATGACGGGAATGAGCATTTCTGTAGATGGTGTGATGCAGGTAGAATTGTTGAGGTGAAACTGATTCACTGAATTTAGGAGGCTATTCCGGGGATGGAGGACAGGAGCCTAAAAATAAAACTGGCTTTGTTTATTTGTTTTCTAGCTTCTTACCATGTGACTGTAATTCCATGCTTTTATTTCTTTTAGTTTATTGACTCAGTTTTGGCTTGCAAGAATTTCTAAAGTTTTCAAATTTTCTGAAATCACAGAAAGATAGCCCACTCTGTTTTAAACAGAAAAAAATACAAAATAAGAGTAATAAATATTAAGATTGAGGTCACGGGGCTGGGAACAGAAGGTGTGTGAGGTATAACTCCTCTATTTCAATTGTTCCTTGTCTGGGTCAATGGAAAACAAGCCTGTTTTCTTGTGCCTGCCTGCAAAAGGCAACTCTGCTTGGCCTCTTGACTCTACTCCTTGGGATTACTGAATTGCAAGGAAGGAAGAACAGGTTGAACGGAAGAGGAAGTAACCAAAGCACAAACAAACAAACAGTATCATTATGTACTGTACAGCAGTTTTGCAGCTCAAAATCCTACATTTATTGACCCTTAGTTTTATAAGTTTCTAGGTCATTGTGCCTACCACCTGATTTATCTTGAAGTGCTAATTTCTCAAGAGGTTAACTTGATTTCAGCTAGCTCCCGTGTTATGCTTAGGTTACACCCTGTGCTTTTCCTGCTACAATTATGACTTGGTAATTAAGAATTTTATTGTGTACTTGTAGTTTCTTTCCCATATTTATGGTACTAATTTTTATTTAAGTTCTCTCAGTTAAGTGTGCTAAGGCAATATAAGATTATCTCATAGCCACACCGTGTTCTACATACAGTGACCCTTGAACTGCATGGACTTGACCTTTATAGGTTCACTTAGATGTAGACATTTTTGTAAAGGTAGGGTGCTGATACAGTGTAGTTGTGGAAATGCACTTTTTCCCTTAAAATCTTTGTAAGATCTTCTCCTCTCTAGCTTTATTACAATACATAATACCTATAGCACACCAATTATTTAATGGGTTGTTTATATTCTCTGCAAAGCTTCTGGTCAACAGCTGGCTATTAAGTTTTGGGGAGGTCAAAATGTGGATTTTCAACTCCATGGGGGCTGGTGAATTTACCACACATTGTTCAAGGGTCAATCCCTGCTTTATCGTAAACTGAGGCAGACAAGAGAAATAACCTGCCCCAAACACTTGATTAACAGAATTGGGAATTACTACCCTAAAACATACTTAGGATGAGGAACCAATGTATGCTTGGCTATTAGTAGGTGCTGAATAAATGACTGAAAGAAGACATTTCTTAGATCACATTGTCATCTGAAGACATTTCTTACATCATGTTGATCCATTTTTTCGATTTTGACTTTAGAGTGCCCCTTTTCTAGCCATGATCAATAATCCAGGCGAGGTGAATGCCAGTGAAGCCTGTTCCTCACCCTGGCCATTGTGAACAGCCTATTGGGTATTCTTGACCTTCTACCAGTGCAGCACAGGGCCAAGTTAATCTGCCACCCAGTGGTACTATAGGGCCCCCTTTATCCTTAAGCTTCTAGAAGGTCTGGCTATCTCCTGGCCACTTTTCATCTTGAAAACAATGGTTTTGCACTGACCAGCTCTGTGGCAAGATGGAAGTCACTCAGTATCTTCACTTATAAAATACAGGTAATGTGGGATTTTTGTAAGGAGGTAAGGAGGTACTAGGTTTACTGCCTGACTACATACAAAGGCTCTAATAAATTTTAATTATTTACTTCCTGACAACCAGAAAAGCTTTCCAGAGACTCTCAAAGCATTCTCCAAACCTAAGCATTCATCTTTAATAAACTCAACACAACCCAGCAATCTCACTGGCAATCACCATCACCAAATAGCTCTCCCTTGCTTTACAATACCCTTGCTGTTAATCCCTCCACTTCTCTTAGTTTTTATCTATATCTGAGATATTTCTATGTGGATAGTTGAATACTTTAAACATCCCCCAAAACAATTTCCACTCTTAAGACTGCTCTACCACCAAACATGTCGATAACCACTAGCCAACAGCCGAGATTTACTGGAAAAAGCATGGGGAGACTCCTCACTCCATTGCTTACTAGGTAAGTTACTAAACTTGCTGAATCATGGTCTGCTCATTTTAAGCAGAGATAGCAATTCCTCTTTTCAGGGTGCTGTGAAGATGAAATGAGATACAAATTTAAAGAGTTTAATAATTAGGCACTTGTTTTTTTTTTTTGATTGATCCATTTCCAGTTGATAGTACTAGTAGAAAGTGGCCAATAGTCACCAATAGAAAGTACCCAGCATGTAGAGGCAAAGATGTTTTAAAGATTAAATATGAATAATTTGAAGATAATTCTATAGCTCTAGTGCATAAAAACAGCAAATGTATAAAAACATTCTAGTATACCTAAATGCTTCAAAAAGTTAACAAAAAGGTGAGTTTTAAAAATATTTTATTTAAAAAGCCTAACCATGGAAGTCCAATGGGATTGCAGCTGAGATGGAAAAAGGCACAACATGATGTAAAAATGAACTATTATATATAGATTAAAAAAAAACCTAACCACAATATCCCGTAAAAACATACAGCTAGACAGTCTATTAATTCCACTGGTTTAAATTTGATTTCAGATTTTGTCTGAAATCAAGCTTTTAAAATACAAACATGTAAACTTCCAAAAAACAAAAAACAAACCCTAACAAATGAGGCATAGAAAAAGAAAATGAATCCTGATGTGTGCAGAAGGGAGACCAGGGTGTCACCACTTATCACATGATTCGGGTTATGACAGGTGTTCACCTTTAATGCTGAACTGCCCACATGGAAAGGCACATCTGTGACAAGGACTTGCTGTCTTTTTTAAAAAGTCTATGGTTTGCCAACGAAATGTCAGTCTCTTTGATTTTTAACTAAACCAAGATAATGCAATTGGTTAATAACAATGATACCATTTCTGAAATCATGAACTCTCCATGAAATCATGACAGACAAACTGCTCAGGATGCTTCCAAGTTGGTGCATCTCAGTTGATCTCAGGAGAACTCCTTGGATTCTGCTGTGAGTCTGTAACCAATCAGGGACTCTTTACCACCATCATCATCCACAAGCAGGTCTACCAACACATGCGGCTTATCGTAGCCAAAGGTATTTCTGAGCATCATGGGCTCTTGTCTCTCTGTCTTTATTTCACTTTTATTATTTGAAGAAAATTCTGTGTCAGAGAAGAAGCTGTCCGATTCCACGACGCCACTATCAGACCCATTTCTGGAGTGGTAAGAATTCAAAGTGACGCTACAGAGTTCAGACTGATTGCTCCCTGAGTGCAAAGAATTGTCTCTCTTCACTGGGGTCAGAGGGCTCTCAGGCACCACGGTGGACATATGTGTTTCAGAGGCCACCACTTTTGTCGCATCAACACACTCTTTGTGTTCTGCTCTTCCAAGATTGTCTTCCGTGTGACCTGAAATTGTTGACAGAGAAGACAGCTGCTCTTCAAAGATCACCTGCTCATTTTCTGTGTCAACTGGCTGGCAGGTGATGGGTGATATATATTTTGACTCAGGTTTTGCTTCTGAAGAGGCATTTTTAACCACAGACATCTAAAGAAAGAGAAGTCAATGATTTAAAAAAACATTATTGAACTACCCTCAAAAAAGAAAGGCGTACCTCCCTGGTGGTAAATGGTTAGGAAGCAGCACTGCAAGTTAGCCACAGGCGCCTCAGTGCAAGTTGGATCCCCGGCCCCAGAGGTGACCCACATGGTGCGGCAGACCTCTCCTGAGCCACCCGCTGCTCCCCTCAGCAGTGTATTTCATCAATCTGCCTGTCCTGCTCCCCACTCTGTCTCTGGTGAATCCCTCACCGTCCCTGCACCTCTGGCCTGTACCCCAGTTCTGTATGCATAAAAAAAAAAGTGTAACCTAAAGATACCACAATATAATAGAAAGCTGCCCTTTTTTTCTTTTCAATGAAAATGTACTATGTTAAGATTAAAAATAAGTTCTTAGGATTCTGAAAAAGCCACCCACCACATAAGCAACCTCTCCATTGCTTTATGTGCATTACCTCCCATGTGTCTTTACGTTACATGTGTGATGGGAGTGCAAACTACGTATTGTATGCAATATTTTCACCCCTGCCCTCATAATTATTTTTCATTAGGCTCCTATAGTTTCTTAATCTTTGTGATTAAGTCATTTTTCTGAAATGTTAAGATGTTTCCAATTGTTGCCTTATTTACAGGACATGTTAAAATGAGTATTTCTAGACAACTATTTATGAAAGTTTTTTTTTAAATTCTTAAGAATAATACAAAGCCCAAGGCTGTGTCATCTCTGGGACCCTGCTACACTGTGTAGATATTTGCAATCCTTAAAAGTTACGCTCTCCCGTCACTGGCCTCAGTACACACGGTCCCTGAGAATGTGGATAAACTCCTTTCTGTCCCTGCAGAGTGCCCTGGCATCACTGCTTCTGGAAAAGTCACAACTGACTTCTAACAGCCAAAGGTGGACAAAGGCATCACTGGCCTGTGAACTTCTATTTTTGAACCAACCATACCATACACCCACTGAATACTTATTTTTTCGCCCACTAGACGTGTTTGTGCTCCTTGACAGTTCTGTATGTGTTTTGCCTCCTCCATAAAAAAAGTCACTGGTGGGTAGTAAAAAAATATATGGAATTTTTTATGGGTGGTAGGTGAAGAGATTATGGTAGGTGACACGCTGCTGAACATCATTCTACTTTAACAAAATTTAAGGGACTAACAAAACGGCTTAAATTATTATTTTAGTATGTATAACTAAAGAAAACATTCACATTACCAAGGATTTGGGTAACATGATGCTTTCTCTCTTAAATGAGTGAATCTTTTTTAAGCGGTAACATCCAAATACCAGGATAATTAAGAGAAAGAGGAGGACAGCAACAGAAATTGGAATCCAAATATAACCTAAAAAGGAAAAAGAAGCAAATCAGCATAAAGATGGACTATGGCTATATCCATTAAATAGTTAAGAAGCTTTCCCATTATTTGTTATCAGATTTACACACCAGGTAATTAACACAGTCAGTTTTTAAGAACAGCAACACAGAATGTAGGCAGGGGGAGTAAAAATTTTAGACATCCGTGATTCTTCAGTTTTGCAATTCTAAGTTCTCTGTAACTATCCTGCCATGACACGACGTGGCTAAAACAGCCTTTTCCTGACAATTAGAGTCCCAAAGTAAGGTTTTCCCAGCTTCACCTTTTTCTGTTAAAAAGGCAAAATGACTTTTTTTGTTTTATAATGCTGCCTTTTATTTTCAATGCACAGCCCTCGTATCTTTTCCCATAGTCCTTTCTTTCAAATCAACAGTGCTCTATGGATCAGGGCAGTGTCTGGGCTCTTTCATGGCATTTTTAGACCTTTAATTTCTACTGTAAAGTTATTTCTTTGGAATAGCAATCCTGGACGCTGCCGCTGAGCACTGTGATAGCTGAAGGTGCTTGGTGTCTCTCAAGAAAAGAATGTCACCAAGCATCAGAAGGGAGTGAGGGTACACTGCAGCGGCCGCTGGTCTCAAGCAAGCAGGAGAGCTGCCCGAGCAGGAGAGCAGCTGGTTTTTTATTTAAGCTTTTTCCTTTCTGAGTGGGAAGGGGTCCCTCTTCATTACGCATACCTTGCTCCCATCAGTCTCCCCAGGGCTAGTGAGAAATTCTCCCTCCCTCTTTTCTAGTTCAGAAAAATCTAGTTAAGACTCTTCCCAAGCCGACCTTATCTGTTCCCTTGAGACAAAGCCACAGCCAGCTGGACTGTGGGCTGAGCCAGGCTGTGTTCCTCTACTGAATGGGAATCTTTTTCTGTCTTTGATGTTACTACCAGCTGAGTGTTTGCATCATACCTGCTATAGGATATGAAACCAGTTAAATGACTGTCATGGTCAAATATAAAATAATCACATAACTAAAACCAACACGGTGTTAGAAACCACAGTACAGGCAGACAGAGAAGGCAGTGTCAGCATGTGGCCACAGTGTCAGCCCACTTTATAATCGAGGCACTCAAAAAGAAAAAATCTGGAGCACTGACATTATTTCAATTATTGTCCATTAATTGGGATTTTATTTTCCAAAATAGCATATTGCGAACTGACATAAAACATACTGTACTGTTTGAAATCATGCTGTAATGGCTTAAAAGTTACTAGGATTAAATTTCAGGTATTTGTCTGATTCTTAAACCTAGATTTTCATTCTTTGAAATGATACTTGTATCATGTAAGTTTTATGCATTTTTTATAACCTAGGAAATACATTCTAAAAATATCCTAACAACTGGAATACACACACACAGATACACAGACATATACACATGTACACACATAGTCATCAATTCACTTACTGAGAAAATCTGAAAATAATTTAAAAGTTAAAAAAATTCATCAGGCCTTCCCTGATGGCGCAGCGCGTTAAAGCACTGCACTGAGAAGCTAAAGCCACTTCCGCATGATTTCGATTCCCGCCTGCCCCGGAGGTGACCAGATGGTGTGGCAGACCTCTCCTGACCCGCCCGCTGCTCCCCTCAGCAGTGTACTTCATCAATCTGCCTGTTCTGCTCCCCACTCTGTCTCTGGTGAAGCCTCTCACCGCCCCTGAGCCTCTGGCCTGTACCCCAGTTCTGTATGCACAAATAAATCAATCTTAAAAAAAAAAATTCATCAAGTAGAATACATCTATGTGACAAAATAGAAATACTGAAAAATATCAAAAAGTATGTGAAATCAAGTGGACACAATACTAATAATATATGCTTAACACTGAATACAACATTAGACATGCTATACAAATATTATCACAGCTTTGCAAATAGAGGAAAACAGGATATAGATAAATACCAAAGAATAAATATCTGGAGTATCTGTAGTTATTTAGACAAACTATATATAATTTTTGTTTCATTTGGCTTTATTTTATAAATTATCTATAACGAGTATTTAAATTTCATAACTTTCTGGTGGTACAAGGTGTTAAAGTGCAGTACTGTGAAGCTATCCACAGCCACTTCAGCATTAGCTTGACCCCTACCCAGGTAGCTGACCCACATGGCGCGACAGACCTCTCCTGACACACCTGCTGCTCCCCTCAGCAGTGCATTTTAGTGCATCTGCCTGTTCTGCTCCCCATCTGTCTCTGGTGAATCCCACCATCCCCCACACCTCTGGCCAGTACCCCAGTTCTTGTATGCATAAATATATAAATTTCAGGATTGCAAAGAGAGGCCCAAATTTTTGTTAAGGTACCTACTCCTGGGCAATACCAGTCTTAAAGTTCTATTTTCTACTACCCCCCTACACCTAGATGATGAAATATCAATATCCTTTTCTTTTTTTTTTTTTAAGATTTTGTTTATTTTATGTAAAGAACCGGGGTGTAGGCCAGAGCTGCCGGGGGTGAGAGGATTCATCAGATACAGAGTGGGGAGCAAAACAGGCAGATTTATACTGTTGAGGGGAGCAGTAGGGAGAGAAGAGAGGTCTGCTGCACCGGATGTGGGTCACCTCCCTGGCCGGGGATTGAACTCAATGACAGCACTGAGACCATCAGGAAAGCCTTGAAGTAAAAATAATTTGCAACATTACAAATATGACCCACAATTCATTAATTACTAATCTACAATTATTTTTGAAAATAATGTCCAGTGCATGTCCCGTTCACATTTCACAATGAACATTCCTAATATTTAGCTGTTAAACTTACTGATCACACAGAGAACACTAAGCTGGATATACAAGTATTAAATTTTACTTTTACTATTCTGTATAATCCTGAATATGGACATCTATTCGTATAGCTTTACATATTTGTTTTATTTCTTTCGTGGGTCAAAAGGTCACTATGTAGCTTTATGAATTCATTGTTTTGTATCTTTTAATGCTTCAGAAAAGGCCATTTTTTTTTTTTAAATTTTAAGCTTTTCTGAGGAATGGAACTGCCAAATATTTCTTTAAAGGTAGAGATTTATTGTAATGACAAACTTTCTTTTTATATTACCTTCTTTTACTTATCACTCCTTACATTTAGGAAAAATGGCAAGAACTTACCTTCAATGTTGTTACCATTAACGCTACAAATGGCAATACAAGATTCTGGGGACATTTCAGTTGTGACAGACCACTCTTCTGAGAAGCCTTCTGCTGACACACAGTAGTTCGAACTCAGTAGAAGCGCTGCTGAAGCACAGTATTTATGACGCAGAGTATGTAGTGGAATTTTGAATTGGCACTGGGTCTCATTGCAATCATTTTCAATGTACTTCTGAATTTTATCTATGGTCTGTATGGGAAAAAAATGAAAATGTCCCTTTTATATGTTTAAAAGTATCACCATTGTCTATCCCGGTTAAACACTTGAAGAAAACATACATGTGATGATCAGTGAACGTGTCCGAAAATAGTTGAATCAGATCAAAATTCAACTTGTTACTACAAGCAATTGTTAAGGGGAAGGATGTCCTAAAAGAACCTGCAGAATTGGGTGGACTCCACCCCTACTCCAGCTTTCTGGATTCCACTCCCCACTCCAGTGACTGGAAAACTACAGTTTCCAGCAGCACCAAGGAGAGGACTGTGAGGACCTAAGGGTGGAGCTAAGCAGGCATTTGGGGACTTTGGTGGGGATTAATAGAGAGCAGTTTTCCAACTGTCACTCTGGAGAGGTAACGGTTCTCTCTTTCTGGAGCAATGGCTCTCAGACCGTGTGGCTGGGGCTAGCAGTGTTAGTTTGGGACTAGCGCTCCAAGTTAGCTGAGCTGGTGAGATAGTGTTAAGCCCCTCTGGGTAGGCCCCTCTGTCTGGGTCCCTATCTAACTCACCTTGGGCCAAGAAAGAAGGGCAGGCAGATAGCATACCTGGTGCCAGCTCCTAGAACTGGCTGAAACTAGACCATGACATCAGCTCTGATATCAGCTCTGTTCTTAGAAACCCGTCCTTGAGTGCTATGAAGTTTGTTACTCTTTGAATTTGCACCGGCTATGATGTATGTATCGGCCGAGAAGGGCCTACAAATTCTCTGTCATTCCTATGGTCTGGGTCTTGCTCTCTTTGTGTGGCCTGCAGGCCTGCAGGAAGGCTTGACCCTAGCTAGCTGACTTAATAAACTCTGCTTGCTTGTGCATCTCTGGTCCTGTTCTTTGTTGCAGGGGACAACCTGGTGATTTCAGACCCTAACATTAGTCCAGTTACTTTGTTTCCCTCTCTCTTTCCCTAGGTTGTTTCCTTTTCCTTTCCCCCCTTTTTAATAAACCCATTACCCTTTTTGTGTGTGTCTGCAGAAAATTACACTTTGAATGCGTGGGTGAGGCCCCACAGACAGGAAGCCCAAGTCCACTCTGGGCAACCCTGTAACATTATCATGATACTGTGGATCCATAAAAATGTTCTCTATAGAACTTATGAAGTTTAACACTCAGATATCATAAATGCTAACTGTTGTTAAACCAAAAGTGTTTATAAGCCTATTGCTATCATGCTAGAAACTAGCTCATGTGGTATTAGCATTTTATAGAAAGAATAATAAAAGTATTTATAAAGACTGTAGCGGTCTCTTGGCATTAATATACAGACAGGATTGGAGCAGCCTCTGGCTGTTTACTATTTATTCAACCAGCCAAAGTGTACAGATCACCTGTGCCTGGATCTGAAGACATAAAGATAGGACAGTGAGTGCTTACTTCAAATAACATAATAAAGTGTAGACCAGAGACAAGAAATATGAGAGGAGATGATGACTAGAGGAGACTAGAAATAATCAGACCATAAAAGGGGAAATAGTCTAAAATGACAGAAAAAGATTTAAAAGGGAAATGAAAAGCCAGTTTAATACTCAAAAATAAGCAGAAATTTGCCGAAGTAGAAAAGGTACTTTTTGGAAAGAGCATGGTACTTATAGGGAAGCGGTTCACCAAAGAACAAATGCAAATAAAGTCAGAAGGTGCAGGGGAGACAGATGGCTAGAAAAGATTCAAGAGACCAAACTAAGTCTTGCAAGGCAGGCCATAAAAGAAAATGAAGTATTATTTTGTAGTTGGTGGGGATTTGTTAAAGGGCTTTAAGTGTGAGATAATATGGTTAGATTCAGAAGCACAACTCTGCTAGCAACCAAAGTGATGTTTTGTTTTTATATTTTAAGGATTTTTTTTATTTCTGCATACAGAACGTGGGTACAGGCCAGAGGTGCAGGGGTGGTGAGAGGATTCACCAGAGACAGAGAGGGGAGCAGAACAGGCAGATCGACGAAGTACACTGCTGAGGGAGCAGCGGGCAGGTCAGGAGAGGTCTGCCGCGCCTTGTGGATCACCTCCAGGACTGGGGATTGAACCTGTGCTGAAGTGGCTTTAGCTTCTTAGTGCTGTGCTTTAACCCACTGCACCACCAGGGAGGGCCCAACCAAAGTGATATTTTAAAATCTTGAATGGACGTGACTCTTCTGCTTAAATTTTTTCAGGGGTACGATATTTCACTCAGAGTAAAATCACAGCCCTCCAATACCCTAAGAGAAGTGGGTCTCTGTGGCCTGTCTGAACTCTGCTGTTCCCTTCACATGCACAGTGTGCTTTTGCCAGGTTTTCTACCTCAAACACTCCCCGTATATAGCCTAACAGCATCCCTCTTGGCTCCAATATGACCGTCCCTGTGAGGCCTGCTGTCCCCTGCCTACTGAGGCCTGTCTCCTGTCACACAGTCCAGGTCCCCGTCCCCTCTTTTCTCCACAGTACTCATCAGTGAAGTTTTGTCTGTACCATGCATTACATATTTGACCAACGTTGCTAGATACAGGAATGGCAGCACTACAGGGAGGGATGAAATGGAGCAGTTCTAATTAAAGTGTGGTCTCCATAGCCGCGTGGGAGTGGGGTAAGTTCCCCATAGTAGCACCTAGCTTTTACTTGCAAAACAATGGTTCCAATGCAGCCTCTCATTAATTTATATCACTACCAGTGAGGGCAAAAAAGATTAAAATTATCTTTATCTTACCATTAGAAAAACAGAGATCTGCTTTCCTCACTCTCCAAAAATAGAAATGTTCCCATTTTGTATACTTTAGTAGGTTATTTTTTGGGATTGTTAACACTCAAAAATTTTCATGTAAATGAGTACAAACAGTATTTCTAGACTCAAAAAATAATCTACCAAATCACACCAAATAGAGCCAAGTGTTCTACTTTTGGATAGAAGAGGACACCTGTACACTGGCTAAAATTCTAGATTAAGGGGCCCTTCCTGGTGGCGCAGCAGGTGAAAGAACAGCACTAAGAAGCTAAAACCACTTCAGCATGAGTTTGATCCCGGCCCCGGAGGTGACCCACATGGCGCGGCAGACCTCTCCTGACCCGCCTGCTGTTCCCCTCAGCAGTGTATTTTGTCATTCTACCTGTTCTGTTTCACACTCTGTCTCTGGTGAATCCTCTCACTATCCCTGTACTTCTGGCCTGTACCCCAGTTCTGTAAGCATAAATAAAGAAATCTTTAAAAAAATTCTAGATTAGGGTCATGCTGCTAAGCTAGGCAAAAATAAACAAAAAACAGTTAAATGTGTTCATGATTCTTGCCTGAATATTCGTGCAAGCTACACTTTCATTATAATATCTATTAAAAAATACTTATGCTAGTTATTAAAAAAATTCCATTTTTCTCAAAATAAAGATAAAACAAGATAATGCACAAATACATACCTCATTTTCATGTACCTTCACATACACATTGTATATAAAAGAGTAACAAGCGTTTTCTTCATCATATAAGGCATATGACTCATTTATCATACTTAACGGATGAAATATGTCAGTAATGACTTCTCCTCCTTTTATTCTGATATCTAATGTAGGTGGCCCAATTTTTCCTATGGGAGACAAAAAAGAAGTAGAATTGATAGCAGCCCTGAAATTTTACAGTAAGTGACATAAAATTACCACAATAAATCAATAAGCATTTCTGTTGTTTTAAAGCAGGACTACCTTTACATCATTCATAAATATCTAGAACATATGTTTGGTGTCCTTAATAATGAATGTTACTCAGGTAAGAATTCTTACTAATCTAAATTTTTCTTTAACAGTTCAATTTCATTTCTGTTCCATTAAACCTTTAAAAAAGAATGTAGCCTATCTTGCTCAAATTTTTTTCCAAAAATTCAAGAAAAGGGAATGCTCCCTAACACATTTTATAATGCCAACATTATCCTAATATCAAAACCAAGTAAAGATGGAGCAAGAAAACAACAGACCAACATCCCTAATGAACACTGATGCAAAATCTTCAACAAAGTATCAGCAAACAGAACTTAACAATATACTTTAAGAACTATACAGAAGGATGTATGCCACAGAAGCAAGGATAGTTTAATGCACATAAATCAATCAATGAACCAAATTAAGCCAACAGAGTGAAGATAAAAATCATTGTAATATCAACAACTGCAGAGAAAGCACTAGATAACATTCAACACTTTATTTATGATAAAAACTTTAAATAAGATAACACATTTCATCATAAGAAGGATCACATATCACAAAAGTACAAACAATATAATAGTTAATGGAGAAAGCAGAAAAGCCCACCCCCCTCATTTTAGAGCTTTTCTGTTAAGAAACAAGACAAACCTGTTACCATTTCTACTTCCCTTAGTATTAGAAACTTTAGCTAAACCAATTAGACAACAGGAAATTAAAGCAATTCAGACTGGAAAAGAAGAAATTAATTTGCAACTATGACACTATATATAGAAAATCCTACAGACTCCGTTAAAAACTATTAGAAACAACAAATTAATATCAAAATGGCAGGTTAAAAAATCAAAATATGAAAATTGGTTGTATTTCACATACAAAGAGAAGAAAAAACAATTAAAAAAATAGTTACATTCACAATCATTTCCAAAAGTACTAAATACTTAGGAATTAAACAAGAAAGTGAGTAACTTATATACAATGCAAATTACAAGATGTTAGTAAATAATTTTAGATTATGACATAAAGAGATAGAAAAATATTCCACACTCATGAAAGGGGAAATCATTAATTAAAATAACTATTCAACCAAAGGCAATATAGAAATCTAACATAATCTCCATCAATATTCTTCAAAGAAATTGAACAAAGGACCTGAATAGCAAAAGTAATCTTAAAAGAGAAATGGAGGCATCATGTGCTCTGACTTTAAACTATAGTATAAAGCAACAACAATTAAAACAGTACCATACTGGCACATAAAGCCACAGGAATCAGTGTAACAGAATCAAAAGCCCCCAAATAAATCCCTATCCTTATCTATCTATCTATCTATCTATCTATCTATCTATCTATCTATCTATCTATCTATCTATCTATCTATCTATCTATCTAGGGTAGATCAATACTTAATTCATGTAATTAATTAAAACCAAACAATGGCAAAAGTAGTCTCTTGAACAAATGGTGCTGAGAAAACTGGATGGCACTATGTAAAAGAATGAAGCTAGAGCATAACTCTATGCTCAAACATAAATTCTGAATGCATTAAAGACTTAGAAGATCTGAAATAGTAAAACATACAAATATTGACAATATTTCATAACAATGATGAAGATTTTTTTGAAGACTTGACGTGACAAGGAAAACAAAACAAAAATAAACAATTGGGATTATCTCAAATTAAAAGTGAAATAAAATATAAGTAGATTAAGAAAGCATTCCACTGAATGAGAGAAACATTTAGATAAACTGAAAGGGGGGTAATATCCAAGATATATATAAAATAATTTAAACAGGCATCTCAATTAATGAATAAACAGAAGATTTCAATAGATAAGTCCCCAAAGAGAATATCCAAGCAGGCCAACAGACAGATGGAAAAGTGTTTACGAAAGCTTTTAAAAAGAAGAGATTTAGGAAGAAACCAAAGTGAGGTATCTCACAACATTGACAATGGCACATATTAAAAAAATCCCAAAAATGGCCCTTCCTGGCGGTGCAATGGGTTAGGACGCACAGCACTACAAGCTAGCCGCAGCTGCTTCATGCGAGTTCAATCCCCAGCTCTGGAGGTGATCTACCTGGTACAGCAGACCTCTCCTGTCTTGCCCACTGTCCCCCTCAGCAGTGTACTTTGTTGATCTACCTATTCTGCTCCCCCCTCTGTCTCTGGTGAAGCCTCTCACTGTCCCTGCACCTCTGGCCTGTACCCCAGTTCTGTATGCATAAATAAATAAATCTTAAAAAAAAAAAAAATCCCAAACCCCTGGTGCTAGAGAAGATGCAGAGAAAAAAACACTCTAACATTGGTGGGAATGCAAAATTGGTGCAGTCACTTTGAACAGTGATCTGGAGTTACCTTAAAAAAACTAAAAATAGAAATACCATGTGACCCAGCAATCCCACACATGGGAATTTATCCAAAGAACATGAAGCTATCAACTCAAAAAATTATATGCTTCACAACGTGTACTGCAGCATTACACAATAGCTAGGACATGGAAACAATCTAAGTGTCTGCTGATAGATCAAAAAGATGTGCTGTTGTCTCTACAATGAAAAATGATTCAGCTATAAGGAAAGATAAAATGTTGCATTTATAGCAAAATGGAAGGAATTCGAGGCAATTTAGTTAAGCAAGTCAGAAAGATAAAGGCTGGCACATCATCTATTAGAAGACACTAATGAAGTGAAGGTTCTGAGGTGAAGAGAGTGGGAGAATGGGGCATAAGGCTATAAGGGGTAGTGGTGTTGGGGTGGAGTATCAGTTCTTTAAAAAGGTGTGAAATGAAAATAGATAAATTTCTAGTCCAAAAAAAAATAGTTGATCAAGAATGAGTTAAAAGAAAACACCTTGATGTAATCTCTGTATCAGTGTTTTTCTTTTATCTTTGGTATGCAAATTTAAAAAGCTGAATTTCTAAAGAATGTTTCAGAAGTACCATTTAAGTGATCTAAAATATCTGAACCTTCATGAAACTCTATTTCCAATGCATATGGATGCCTGGCAAGAAGGGCTCATAAACGTCTACTAAGTAATGTTCAATTTTATTGTGAAGATCAGAATTAAATATTTAGCCAGACAACAAATGTTATATATTTTTAATGTTTGGGACTTTGTTGGCGAACCATTTACTGATTTGTCACCTATTTACTGCACATCTACTGTACAGCAGGCAGGTTATAGTCATTCCCCAATGTATCCTCCAGGCCCAGCACACTTTTTTTACATAGATGACATAGGCAGAGACCTTGGGGGATCAAAACATTTCAAGAGGAAGTAGAGGAAGGGATGGTGGAAGAGACCAAATAAGTATAATCTGAAAAGCTGGAACAGAACCAAGGTGCAGTGGCTGAAGTAAGGAAGCAAGAATATTGAACGAAGAAATGAAGAGCTGTAAGACAAGGTGCTGAAGGACCAATCCACTAGGGGGAGAAAAGAGACTAAAGGCTTTTTTGATCCAGCATGAGGAGTGAGAGCCATGTGGGGAGAAGTAGCACTGAAGATTCTACAGCAGTGGGTGAATGAGATATTAGAACAAAGAGCTGAAAATCACTGGGTTTGAAGAGATCACAAAACTACAATTTTTTATTGTGTAAGTGTTGGTATTAAAGTTCTTATGAGTCTTGAGAACTTAAGGAAAAGAGGGAGAAAGAGAGCAACTAGCTGCCCAACACCCCAGTGATGATACCTAGAAAGGAATGTCAGAGGAGGGGAACCCAGAAGGACAGCAGTCCACTTGTTTGCATGGAGTGACAGTTCAGAAGCACAGCGAGGTGGCTGCCTCTTAGTCCTCTTCTGTGGGAGCTCAGAAAAGAGGAAATCCTTAAAATTTAGGAAATTCCTCAATTTTTCTGAATGTTTCTTGCACATTCTTGTAAGTTTTAGCAGTGCTAATAATAGAAAATATATACAGAAGACATGTGTGAGCATTTTCAAAATTAACATTTAGATCTAACATATACTCACCTTGTTTGCACAAAGTAAATTCTTTTGACTGTACATATGATGATTCATTCTGTCCAAGCCTAGCTTTCACTCTGGCCCAGAGAGGGGTTGATGGATCATCAACAAGGGAAGTGATATAACAATAATGATTAGATGTGTTGCAGGCATCAACCCATTTTGCACGCCTATAATGAGGAAGAAGAAAGAATCAAAGGTGACTTTTACTGTTAATGTGTAAAAGTGAACCATCTCTCTCTGTATTTTGCTTTTCATTCACATCATGGAGCAGACAGAGTAGAAAGAGCAGATGAAGAATAGGATAGAGGGGATAAGACAAGGTAAGCAGTGTTTGGTTAGGAATACTACAACTCCTGCATGACAAAGGGGTTCAGTTCAACATGTAACACCTGTAAAAATCACATTCCACATGTAATTCTGAGGACTCTGCTTTTTGGACAACTTGATTCCATTAACATACTATTTACAGAATCCATGCTAACAAAAGAAAAATTTTTGAAGTTTTATCTTTCTACTTAACAGTAAGATGACATCATTCCTTTAATAAACTGTAAAGTTCACTTGTCACATCTTAAAAGTATCAGAGGTGCTGATATTTTTTTTACCTCAATACTGATAGGAAGAACGAAGAGGCAGGAGTATTATGAAAAGAGGTGATTTACATCCCAAGTCTATAATCATTTCAGGAAGTTTTGCCACAGGGGACAGAGGGTTCCGTAAGGAAATGCAGAATATGGAATGGCAAGGACCAGAGAAAAGCAGGCTAAAAGGATAAAAGAATAACACTCACCAATAGGTCTTTACCTGTACAGTAAAGACAGGGGTCTGAGACACGGCTGGATACTCCCAGTTAAAGTGAGTATTCATGTTAAAGGCCTCAATTGTAAGATTGGTCGGTCCTGGCACTGTAAGAGATTCAAAACGGAAAATGGACAAGAGTAAAACACTAACACTAACGTTAGAAAACCTTATTACAAGAAGCCATGTTGGGCAAATAGGCATTGTGAAAAAAAGCAGAACTCACAAGCATAGTATATTTGAGAGATGTCTAAAAATTAATTTTATTTAAAAATGTATAGGAGAGGGCCCTCCCTGGTGGCGCACTGGGTTAGGACAAAGTACTGCAACCTGGCTGCAGCTGCCACAGTGCGAGTTTGATCCCTGCCTGGGGAGTGACCCACATGGCGCGGCAGAGCTCTCCTGGTGCAGCCACTGCTCCCCTCAGCAGTACTTCATCGATCGGCCGGTTCTGCTCCCCACTGTCTCTGGTGAGGCCTCTCACTGCCCTTGCACCTCTGGCTTGTACACCAGTGCTGTATGAATAAATAAATAAATTCTTTTTTAAAATGTATAGGAGAGTTCGGATTCACTTTAGATCACTGATGCACCATTGTGATAAAAGGAAAAATTCCTGTATTTTAGAAAAAAGTATATTGTCTTTTGTAATAATAATCCTCAGTTTATTTCATCACATTCAGTTTTCTACATTGATGCCACAGATTGCATTCAATGGCCAGAAGACAACTGATACTTCAGGGATGGTCAGATCCTTCTAAAATACCATGCAGACTCTCAGCTCTGCACCCAGTCCCACTACGTACTTTTTAAACAACCTGTCTATATTCTAGCGACTGACTGGAGGAGACATGGACCTTTTCTGTAGCATGAGCGTTGTGTTTTCTAGGACACACATATGTTTTTTACAAAACATATACAAGATTTCCTCTTGTCTTTGTTCTTTTAAACCCTTTAGAGACTATCTGTAGATAACATGTGATCATATGAGAAAATAAGGATAAGTCAATTCAACATTTTGTAGCTGGACAATATCAAAACCTGTCATTTAGCCATTTTATTCCCCTGCTCAGTGTCATTCACAACCTCTTGGAACACTGATCACATACACCCCCTTCTTCCTTTCTCTCTTTTCCTTCCTTTCTCTCAAAATTTAAGATTATTCAATCCTTTCTGGGGAATTCCTTTAAAGATGACTCATTTATAGTTAAAAATAAATGAATGGCGACATGATCAGGTACAGGGGCTTCCAAACAAAACGTATCTTCAAAAATTTGCATATTTTTTAAGTTCCCTAGATAATGATGATCAGGGCGTTTATTAAGAAGACTGGATCTAAAACATGAAAAATATTTCCTGGGATGGACATAAAGAAGTCTGGGTTTCCTGGTGGTGCAAGGGGTTAAGTCTCAGCACCATGAGGCTGTCCAAAGCCACTGCAGCAGGAGACCAACACCCAGCCACAGGGCTGACCCACAGGGCACAGCAGACCTCTCCTGTCTTACCTGCTGCTCCCCTCATAGTATATTTTAGTAGATCTGCCTATTCTGCTCCCCACTCTGTCTCTGGTGAACTCTCTCACCCCCCACACCTCTGACCTCTACTTTAGTTCTTGTATGCATAACAAGTAAAATAAATCTTTAAAAGAAAGCTGGTTCTTTCCTGCTACCCAACTAAACAGTTAATTCAGATTTATCTGTCAAGTGAGAAGATAGTTGAGAAACCAGAGAAAGCTAGGTATAGGAACATTTCCTTAGCAGGGTTCTTGTATCTGTGGCATATCTGTACCTTAATTTCCTGAAGTCACCTAGTCTCAAATGGCTCACAGTCTATGGTTGAGGAGGAAATAAAACACACCCTCCCCCCAGGCTAACATTCCACATTAGTATCAAAAAATAAATCACACATGTAAACATAATCTTGTAACCAGTAAGTAAGAGATACCTAACTGTAAGGAACACCTAATGAATCTGAATTAAGAATCCAGTTCTTAATTTTAGTATCTTTTGCCTCTCCAGAGACTGAGAATTTTCAAACCATCAGGTCTTGGCTTCTGTTTGTTTAAAAGTCCTTCCCCTGATGTTTTTTTAAAAAAAAAAAAAAAAAAAGTCTTGCAGCTTCCTAAAAAAAGCAAGAAGAAGCCACATGCCCCTTTCAATACTGCTTAGAAATCTTCTTAGCCAGGTCAAACAGCTCACATACCATTTCTTATTTTCCTGTTACCCATTACTACAGTGTTACTAAACTTTCTGCTGCTAGGTAGCAAGGATTCTCCTTCCCAGTTTCCAAAAATGACAAGCTCTTCACTTCTTTTTAAGCCTCTAAAAAATTATTCCCAATAGAAATGACTTTTTTTTTTTTAAAGATGCATTTATTTATACATACAGAACTGGGGGACAAGACAAAGGTGCAGGGGCGGTGAGAGTCTTCACCAGAGACAGAGCGGGGAGCAGAACAGGCAGATTGGCGAAGTACACTGCTGAGGGGAGCAGCAGGCGGGCCAGGAGAGGTCTGCCGTGCCATGTGGGTCACCTCTGGGGCCAGGGATCAAACTCGCACTGAAGAGGCTGCAGCTAGCTTGCAGTGCTACATCCTAATACATTGTGCTACCAGGGAGGGCCAGAAATGACTTTTAAGAGTATGTACTCAAGCTGCAATTCCAGTATTTGTGGAAAAGACATATAAAAGTCAATCTATGTGCTAGAACATCATATAAAATGCATTTGTATTTGAGAAGTTACTAAATCATATACCGACTATTATAAAACCATAAACAGTAGACTTGTGTAGCTTTTTAAAATGTGAATCAAGCAATGTTTCCCATAAAGGCTGGACAAGATTAGAATAGGACAAGAATTAAAATGATAGCTCCCAACACCATCAAGACGGACAGGCAGCAGGACAAAGAGGATTTGATGAATTATAATAGAGACAGAAATCACTTAATCACTAGATTAAGAAGAAACCTAAATATTTACACTAAAGGATGTTACCTGTGGTTTTAATGCCACGGATGAGAAACTGTGTGGTTATTAGACATATGCTTTTGTCGCCTTTATCAAAATCACATGATGGATGTGAGAAATCTCCTTGTTAAGTTTCAGAATTACAAACCCTTAACTTTAAGCTGCTATCCATTCAAATGAAAATAATTCAATATTACAGCAAACTTCTATTACTAATAAATTTATATTAATTAAAAGTGTGTATACAGGGCCCTCCCTGGGGGCACAGTGGGTTAAAGCACAGCACTAAGAAGCTAAAGCCACTTCTGCAAGAGTTCAATCCCCGCCTGCCCCGGAGGAGATTCACATGGGGCAGCAGACCTCTCATGACCCGCCCGCTGCTCCCCTCAGCAGTGTACTTCATCGATCTGCCTGTTCTGATCCCCACTCTATCTCTGGTGAATCCTCTCACCCTCCACATCTCTGGCCTGGACCCCATTTTTCTGTATGAAAAATAAATAAATCTTAAAAAAAAAAGTGAGTAGACATATCACAACACCATTATCTGTGGAATTTAAGCAAAGTTCCTACTAGATTATCTAATTAAATAAAACAGACTAAGATTTTTTCATCCCTTGAAAATGCCTAGAAATTTAAAACATGTATTTAAGCCTTTAAAGTTTTTAAGTACTAAAATTCTCCTTTAATCTATCAGTTATTTCTGTTGACTCTATCCCATGGAAACTTCCTCCTCTTACCATCTGCCTATCTTAAATGCTTCGAAAGTGATCATCTAAGCCCTTATCCTACTCTAACCATGTCCTCTCATGTTTAGGGTTGTGAGCTATTTGGTGCACAACTATCTGCACACTTCCTAGAGCGCACGGCAGTTATGAAGATCTGCTTCCCAGAATTCTAGTTCTAGAGAAGTAACCGCTGAGGATTTAACAAAACCAAACCCAGGAGAGAAGGAGCAGTATCTTGAGCATGCTAATTACTTGTTGCAGGAAATAAAAACCAACTGCTTTTTTTGTGATAAGGTAGGAGAGACAGAGGATGAAAGCCCACAGGAAAGAGGGCAGAAAAGATGGGGCTGCTCAGTAAGGGATGAAACCTGCTACTGGAAGGACAAATGAGGCGCACCAAAGACAGCACAGCCTGCAGGGCAGCTCTGTAGTGACAGAGCTGGCAAGTAGCACAGGGAGAACAAACCATTCTCTGGCTAGCTCCAGACTTGCTTTGCATGGACAAGGACAGGAGCAGCAGCTGCCACCTGTATTCTACTTCATAACAGAAATGCACCTGGGTGTCTCCTGACAAAGAGGCAGGCAAAGAGTTCTTTATTGATTCTACATAAGTGCAAACAAAGGCTATGGACGATCCGCAGCTCACTCAGAACAGAGCTCTGGACCCTGCAGAGCTCCTTCTACGATGTGGTTTAGTGACCTTTCTTCTGGGAAGCACAAATTTAGATGCATAAAGAAGTAAGGCTACAGGGATTAGTAGTTACTTGGGTTGCAGGAGGGGTAGGGGAACCCCAATCATCTGACACTACAACTCAAACAAATGCTCCAAAGCATCCAGATCCTTTACTGAAAAACCAACTCAGAGAACAGATCCAACAGCTTCCCCAGGTTAAAGCTGTGAGACGTGGGTATTATCACAAAGATAATATCAAATTAAGACTCTGGCCTCTTTTCAGAATATAATTTATGACCACACACCTTTCTCCAGAATGGTTTTATTGTGTTGATAAAATGGCTCTTTTCCTTCATGCTTTCTAACCTTTTCAACTTTTCTAGGAGGTTGAAGTATTCCTTCGATTTGAGATGAATAAAGGATTGAGAATTCTTACATCTGATATTTCAAGTGCTTCTATAAGTTTTAAATGAAATATTTCCATACATATCCATACATATCCATCATATTGTGAAACTAATGTGAAACAATTTTCTACTTCCTCTATTAATTCCTTGCATCTCCAGAAAAAAAGATAAGATTTGGAACTTAAGGGTTTAAGTGAGGATGTTTAAAGCCCTTTGGGTCTCTTACCTTCTATAGCATCGCCCCTCAGCTGGGCTGGGCCCAGCATCCCTGCAGTCTTTCCTCTTCCTGTCTGTCTTCACAACCTATTCTGGTCTTACCTTTCACCCCCTCTCTTATCTTTCAATCTCTCTGTCTCTTCGTCATCTCAGAAGTGATGCACTTCCGAATGAAATATTTTTCTGCTCTTCTTTATTCAGGGATGAACCTATCATATAGTAGCTGATACTGAAATGTGCAATTAGCTAAAATGCTCCAGATAGTTCACTAAAACCCCCACCAAGTTGTTGATTATCTAATACTATTGTGCTCAATCACTTTCCTGACCTGAATGCAGGGTTTGTTCTTGCTCCTGTTTCTCCAATTTAATTGCTGGGTTAACTTAGCCTGCCACTGAATGCTAACTGAATTAGACCCATCCAGATCCTGAGAGTTGTCATTTTTCAACACTAATTCCCTTTTAGACTACGAATTGAAAATACTGAAGCAGTCTTTTCAGTCTATGAAAAACAGGAGAAAGGTAAAAGAATCAGTTGGCTGCTGAGTTTATTTTTAAATTTTTCATAGTGATTTTTAAAGGCAACCAATTTCTTAATATATAACAAATCAATTTAATGTTTAAAAATATCTTTGTCAAAATAATGACATTGTTGAATGATAATCATTAACATATACTAAACATTTACCACAGGACAAGCAATGTGCTGAACTCTTTTTTTTTTTTTTTTTTGCATTGATTTGCTTGCTTTCCTGTTCCTACAAGTGTTGTCATGTAAAATAAACACCCAAAAATAAAGTCCAACCCAGCAATAATAGAGTTAACACAGTAAGTGTGCAGATGAGGAAGCTAACCACAAGCCAGATGCAGACTGTGATTACAGATTTTCCTCTTACTTGAAGGATTTTAAACTAATTTTAAAAGCAGAGAACACAACACAGAGTAAAGAAATGTACTAAAAAAATGGGATTGGGGGTTCACTGACATCTATATTTGCAAAATGCTTGAGAAAAAAGCCACAAGGATATCTTTCTCTGGGAAATAGTCAGGCAGCAAACTCTACTTCAGGGTAGCTTCAAGAATGTGCATTCTCAAGGAGCTCCACACTCAGGAGGACCCTGGCTCAGAACAAGGCCTGGCATTTGGCTTAATTCTGCCCACGCCAGGAAGCTGAGTCATCTTCCTCTCTTCCAGAATCCAGTTACCTCTACTGTCTTCCATAAGTTCTTCAAACTGCCCTCTTCTCCCCATTTAAAACTGCCACTTCTCATCAACTCTTCCTAGACTTTAGCCACAGCTTGCCAAAATCATCCCTCTCCTTAAGAGTCTACCCTCAAACAATTTTGCAAGGTAAGTGGGCTTTCCAAATAACCTGGCATTGCATAAAATCATTTCTCTTTTAAGTACAATCCAGTGTCTGACCATTAATTTCAGCAAAGAACAATGAACATAATATTTTGTTGACTCAGCCCTTGACTTTGAGGAACAATATTTCTTCTGGGATTCCCCTACTGCTACCCTATCCAACAATGTTCTGGCCATGCGGGGGGAGGGGGGGGGCACACCAGAGCCTTCCCTTGGAATTTCATTAGACTGGAGGATGTGGCAAGTTGTCAACATCCATAACTCCTGCCAGGTAGGGAAAGCTGTCCACACCTGGAATCAGTAATAGGCAGAGGAGAATCTTTGCAAACTTGGATTCATTGTTTGGCTTCCTGAAGGCCAGCTGGCATCTCGACCTTTCTAATTCTTTCTTAGGCTTGTGATGGAGGCAGGGTCTGGTGTTGGCCACTTGAAAGCAGGAACTGAGACATAATTTGGTGGGAGTAAATCATGTTTATTTAGGGGTTGGGAGTGCTGGCTTTGAATGGCAAACAGCCTGACTGGCTCTGGGAACAAATTCTCTAAAACACTCCTCTTTTTGCCATAAATTAGCCAAAGCTGCTCCCCTAACTTTTGCTGTTAAACATGGCAAGGCACGTTGTTAATGGTTCCTTCTTCTCTACTCTTCTAGCTCCTCTTGTATTCTCACACAAATATTCTACAATAAAATGACTGATAGAATACTAATTCAGCTGCTGTTTCACTGTGTCCTTTATATGCATCTTTCTGCATCTCCAGTTCCAACTCTGGGGTTATCAGCTCCATGAAGTCTTTCCTGCCTCCTCTGACCAGACCTTGGCGCTCAGTAACTTGCTTTCCAGAGCCCATGCAACAGTCCACAAGCCTCTGCATCTTAACACAGTGAATGCAACAGCCCTGGTAGATGTCTAATCTGCCCGAGAGGGTGGTAGTTTTGCAGAAAGCTAGTCAGAATTTAAGACTCTAGAGCCCAGCAAAGTAGCAGAGCTTTTCTACAAGTTGAGCAGACCTCAATATGGTTCAATTTCTCACCCACAAATGGAAATACCAAACCCACTCTGTAGGTCTGGTGTGAAATGAGATGTGGTAAGTGTTTTGAACAGTCAGTACCAAGAGCTCAAGAAATGTGAGCTATATAATCATGGTCTTTGAAAGCAGAAACTTGAATAATTTCCTTTTTGTATTCTCAACATCTGGCTGGCACTGGAATATCTGTCCCCAAATAACTACATAGTTGTCTGACTTTTAGAGAACAAGTCAAAGGGAGCCTGCCAATAAATGCAGCATACCTAACAAGGGCTCCCAGAGAGTTAGAGCCACGTGAGTTCTAAAGGATGGAGGAGGCTGGGCTTCCTTTCATCTTTTCTAGGCAGCTGCTATAGCTGTGGACACTGAGAAGGCATTCAGGCTGTCTGGTAAATTATGTTTTTTCCTTCTTGCAGAAAACGTGTTGATTTCATTGGCACTCCTAATCACCTAACATCAGGGTTTACAAAAGCATCTCAATGAATATGTCCAAAAATTAACAATGATGTAAGAAAAACAAAACTCACACAAAGAAAACAAAAGCATCTTAGCATTTCTTTCCCAGGAAATCTCAGTAAACAGGCCGAAATAAAATGTCTAAGTGAACTAAGCTATATGAAGACACCTATAGCCTAACAAATGGGCTCTTGACTGCATCAGTTCCAGACTGAGATGGAAGACGGCAAAGCTAACTGTCACTTAATCATTTTCAGCTGGCGAAGGACTTGGGGTCACCCTTAAGTAAGGACTTGGGGTCACCCTTAAGTCGTGAGCTGTGATCCCAATATACTGTTGTAGACCAAGAAACTCACTTATTTCAGAAATAAAAGAACTGAAGACTCAAGAGCGGGGTCTCGTTGCTTTGGCAACAGCGTTAAAGGAAAAAGAACAGGAACTGTGCACACAGCCGAGATCCGGCATCGCTTTCCTGCCGGCAGCCCACGCAGGCATCAGCACCCAGCCTCCAGACCGGCCGCACCCGGGAGCGAACTCTGGCGCAGTCCAGCCGAGGCGGGGCTTCCTGGCCGGGGCGGCTCCCTCCATCCCCACCCGTTCCCACCCGGCCGCGGCGTCGCCGCAAACCACAGTACCCGAGGACAGCTCCGGATCCAAGGCGCTCATCTCAACCTTGTTCCCGGCCAGCAAAACCACGACGAAGAGAAGAAGAGCCATGCCGATCTGTCTCTACACCGTGTGAAACCCCGAGCGACTGCAGGCGCCCCAGCCGGCCAGACCCTGGCGCGTCACTTCCGAGGTCGGGGACCAGTCCTTGCCCCAGGGGCGGGGCGTGGGCGGGGAGAGGGGCGTGGACAGGGAAGAGGACACCCGGACCCGCAGGCAGTGTTAAGCCCGGGAGACAGGGTGCAGATGGGGAGGTGTGGCCAGGACGGGGAGGCGGGGCCAGGGCGAGACGGTGGTGCTAGGGACCCCGCCAGAAGGCGACTGGGAAGGCGGGGCTAGAGGTGGAGAGGCGTGGTCACGGCGGGGTCGGGGCTGGACTCAAAGGCGGGGCGCGGGGGTAGGAGATAGAACCATTGTGATTTCTGCTCCTTGGGAGCTCAGGGTCTTTGGAAGAGTTTGTGGTCACGTCCTGGGCTCGCAGGATAGTGAGGAACTGGAGTCCAAAGGGTGCTTTCTGTGGATTGCATCATATTCCACGAATCCGTTTCTGCAATGTCCTGGGGTTAGAGAACTACCCTAGGCTAGCTACAGTGGGCACAATCCTACAACCCAGAACAATAAGTACTTTAGCTTATTAAGAAGTTTCCATCTGGGCCTCCGAGAATCTACAGCATAAAGAATCCTTAGATGCTATGCCTTCTCCACCCCCTGAAGTTCTATGTGAGGAACCAGAACCATCCCTAATCTGTTGACCAAGAACTACAGTCGACCCTTACACAAGGCAGAAGTGAAGGACTTGGGTGGTGGTGCTTGGGGGATGGCCATAGTGGAGGATCAGGGTATAATTTATAGTCCATCCTCCATGTAGGTGAAATATAAGTGAATTCTGAGTTTGATTGTGGAAGAGGGGATTGAGCTCAGAACGCATAACTTCTGATATATAATAAGCAGCGGGTAAGTGGAATCTTGTGGTTTAAACGAAAAATTTTCAAGACTCGTCTGTATTTTATTCTTGGAAGAGAAGCAGCTTACTTTACCTTTTCAGCCATTAAATATTGTATAGGGACTTATTAATCATTTTGAGCTCTGTCCTCTTTCCTCTCTGGCCACATCTATTACTCAATCTCTGGAGATAATTTTATTGTTTTAACAACCTGGAAGAATAAAATTTAACACTCTCTTAACTATCTGGAAAAAAAAAAACTTTACCAGCACCTTGAGTTATAATTTTATCAGAAAAAAAAAAACAACAACTTTCTATTGGATAAATTTATCTGTGTGATAGAACAAATACCTAATTATAGAACATCTGTTCTTTCTTATTTGAACAGCTCTCTCCTCCTCATGTGAGTTCTTCTCTCTTTGTAAAGTCCCAGGCCCTATCACATTCCTTATCTCAGGAGATATCCTCCTGATTCTCTTCACTGACCTTAAAATTCACTTTTATGTGGTTTCCCTCTATGTATGTCATTAAATTTATTTTCCCTCCTACTAATCGATCCTGTGTTAATTTGGCTGTTCAATCAGCCAGCCCAAGAAGACCTCAGAGGGATGGGGACAATTTTTTTCTCTGCCTTTAGAGGAGGTTATGGAGTAGGATAGGACATAAAATTCACTTCGGTTTAGCAAATGTTTTGCAGTGGCCATCAAAGTTTGGGTTTTGCATGAAGTACACTGAACAGAAGATTAGCATGCATGACAAGTTCCTGCATGCTTTTGGAACTGACCACTATGAGAAATAAGTGGAGAATGCAAGATAGAGCAATGGGAGAAGCTGATCTGTGAAATCACAATGACAAAGGCTTTGGCCAAGCACTGGAGCCAAGATGGCCATTAAGAGGTGTCTTGAGTTGGTATGAATGACTGGCTCTTCAAGTGACAGCATTGATTAGACATTGGATACAAAATGCCCCAAGAAGGGGACATGATTTGAGGCTGACCATTTCTTTAGCTGAGGCATTCTCCAAAGAGTACAGATGAGGGGTTCTGCAAACAACACTCCTTGCGGTGGGAAGTGGATAGGGTTATGTCTTCTAAGTGAAGGAGGGCTTAGATAGAGCTTTGTCTTCTGTGCCCACACATTACTTAGCCTTATGAAGCACTGTGCTTGTCATCTGCGACTAAAGACATTTATTAATTCACTAAACATTATTAGTATGCTCTGTGTGTGTCCGACACAGCTGTGCAATGAGATATGCACCCAGGTAAGGCAGACATGGCCCCTGCCATGGAGTTATAGTTTACTGAGGGATTGAACACGTTTAATCAAACTATTAGAAATAAGTGCTGAAACAGTTATAATTGCTATCAAGCAGAACACTAGATTTACTGGAGCATAAATCGGAATTTAAGTTTTAAGTAAATTCTTTCTTAAAGTAGTTTCAATTATGCGATAGCCCAAAGAATAGGGGGAAATAGCCTAGATAAAGATAAATGGTGGCGGCTGGAGGTGGAGGGTGGGTCACAGGGTAGTAAGAGAAGTAAGAAGAAGGCTAAACTGTATTTATCCAATATATAAATCATATATAATCACACAGAAAGCAAATGAGCACTGCTAATTTCTTTGCTAAAATCCAATGCCTGGGCCCTCCCTGGTGGTGCAAGGGGTTAAAGCAGCAGCCATTTCAGCACAGGTTAGATCCCTGGCTAGGGCGCTGACCCACATGGCACAGCAGACTTCTCCTGTCTTGCCTGCTGCTCCATCAGCATTTCATCAATCTGCCTGTTCTGCTTCTCATTCTGTCTCTAGTGAATTTTCTCACTGTCCCTACACCTCTAGCCTGGACCCCTGTTCTGTATGCATAAGTAAACAAATCTTTTTTTAAAAAAATAAACAAATGTTTAAAAAAATACAATCCTAATAACTGGAGAAGTCCAAATATATATTGGTTCCCACTATATCCTCTAGTGAATTTTTAAAACCAAGAAAACCAGTATGGCTTAAGGAGTGGTAATAGCAAAGAAAGTGTAAACTAAAATGCTGTTCAGGAACAAGATTACATTTTGTAGGTCATACGCTGTATGACCTAGAAGAAATTAATAGGTCAAATAAAATAAGAAATTAGAATATAGTGAGAAATGAAACTGTACAGCACAATTTGTACTTTTGGGGGGATCCTGGTGCTCTGCATTTCCTTCCCTTTTTCTAAAGAATAGAAATATCTGCCAGTTTCCTTTTAAAGGAAACCTGCTAAAAAGTTTGTGACTAAAGCATTTGGTTTTGAATTATGAACATTTGACAAATTACAGCAAAAACATCCTGATTCTCTGACCCTCTATCATGCCTTATGACTTTTCTACACTACCTTACCTATGTTTGGCCAAGCTTTTATCATCAGCTGGAGATTGTAAATCTGCATGTATGTATACACATACATACATATATTTTAATATGTAAGGACTGAAAATTTGTTGATTTCTACCAAAGTAATGGGATTACTAGAATAAATTTCTCTCTCTTCCACTAGAAAATGAGCTCCTTATTTACTTTATTTTGTAATTTCCTGATGCTAGGTAAGGGCCTATTATTCTATTTATATTTATGGGATATAGGTATGAATGATCAAAGCAAGTTTGTGAACCCATATGGGATTGTAACTGATATATTTAAATTTGTAGCTGACTAAGTTATATCATAGTTCTCCCTTTATCCAAGGTTTCACTTCTATGATTTTGTTTTATATATATGTGTGTGTATATATAAATACATATATTTTAAGAGTTGATATTGTAACTGATAGAGTTAAATTTGTAGCTAAGTTATATCATAGTTCCCCTTTATCCAATGTTTCACTTCTAACTTCTATGATTTTGTTATATATGTGTGTGTGTGTATATAAATATACATATTTTGAGGGAGTTGATATTCATGTAACTTTTCCTATAGTAATTGTTATAACTGCTCTATTTTATTATTATTGTTACTCTCATACTCTGCCCATTTATAAAGTAAATTTAATAATAAGTATGCATATATAGGAAAAAGCATAGTATTCCTCAGGGTTCAGTGCAAGCCAAGGTTTCAGGTACTTACTGGGGACCTAGGGACATATTCCCTATTGTTACTGCTGTAATAATGTCACAGATGAGAATTTAGATCTGTTTGGCTATCCAACTGGTACCAAGAAAAGTAGCATCAGTTTTTGTCCTGCACACAGACCATTTCCAAAGAAAGTTATCATGCTGACATCTGATCAGATTGGATCAACCCCCTGGCACAAAGGCAGTTATCCATCGGTTGCAAAGTCTTCTAGTAGAGGGCTTGTCCTTGAGTACTGCCTTAGATGCCACGCTAGGAAGGTAGGTCTGTGGCAGACATTGTTCAGTAGCTAACGGCTAAAGCCTTTTTCAATAGCCTTCTACTGTGCTGTCTTCCCATTATAAGAGGGAGAAAACTCAACATTCACTTTCCCAGCCTTCTTGGAAGTTAAGTGTAGTTAACTGGTCAATCCGACATAAACAGAAATGTGTGTGTGTGTAGCAGATGCAACAGAAGAGCTTCCAGTCTTCTTGCCTCATATGTAACACAATTATGATTAATTTTGCAGCGGTCGTCTTGCAACCGTGAGGCAATGTAACTGAAGATGAAAAACCAGCAGCTTAAAGGGAAAGAAAAGAAATTCCCAGTGTTAACACTGAGCAGCTAAACCGATACCTGCAACTATCTCTTGTTATAAGAGAAAAAATAAATTTGAAGAAAAACTACTGGACACTGATAATGAGATGAAGTTATCAAAAGTAAAGGGGGGAGGTTGAGAGGAAGGAGTGAACAGGGTCTAAGGGATGGAGGTGGGTGTTCAATTTTGATTTTTTTTTTTCCTTCAAAAAGAAAAAGTTAAGTTCTATTGATTTAGGCCACTGCCAGTTAAGATTTCTGTTAATAGAAGTGAAATTCTCAGTCAAGGTTAGGTTGTTGGAGAAGGCCATTAAAAGAAGCTGACAGTCTAAGTGCTGGACCCAGGCAATTAGAAGCTCCTGTGCATTTTTTTTACTTTCTTGTGCATTTTGTTTACCTTCCACACTCCCAGAAGCTGCCCAGAGGCACATCCCAGAGATAAAATGCTTTATTGAGACCATCTAACTTGTGCATGGGATTAAACCCAGAAAGGCCTGTTATGTAATATGTGGG